TCGTCTTAAAAAAAAAAAAAATTAGTGGCGCAAAGACAAGCACAATCAGGATCATTTCAGTGGATGTCTATAGAATGCGAAGTGTATAAGCTACTTCCAGCCTCCGAAACTGAGGATGGCCGGGTGATTCTCTGGGATTCTAGATGTTCTGCTTTTATAAACGTGTGAGCAGGAGTGTGGCATCCTGTTCGCTAAGACGGCCCATCCTCCTGCTTCCCTTTCTTCCTCCCCATTCCTATTTGCACAGCACTCTGTGCCAGGCGATGTGTGAGGTACTATCTGTGGATGATAAATGTTAAACGTGACCACTGCATTGAAGGAGATTAAAATCTCAAATGACGGCAGAGGGTGGAGCTTTAGGGAAGTTTCATCCTTTGAGAAACACCTGTCCCCCAGGGCATGGGGCATGGCCCCGACAGAGAGGGCTCTGAGAGGTCAGATAGCACAGACCCTCCCCGCAAGCAGGGTGAAGGGCAGCGCTGACGTGAAGATCTTCCTCCAGAGGAAGGAGACAAAGGGGCCTCTGCTCCCCAGTTCTCTGCCTGTGTGGACTCTTGAATCTCCTTTTCTATTATCCCCATCCACCTCCTTGGCCAAATCCAACCGAGCGTCAAGGCCCAGCACGGTGCCACCTTCTCCGGGAAGCCTTCTCAGAATCTTCCCAGGTGAAAGTGTTGCTGAGACCCCTGAGTTTTTAAGGTACTTTATCTGCACCTCTCTTATGACACTAAACAGTTTCCACTTCCTGTAAATAGTTTTTCCCTGGTCTGTCTGCTCCCACTGTCAGGTGACTGGTTAGGTCCTTTGCCACGTCTTACTCATTGTTGCATCGTTTTTGTCCATCAGAGAGTGGCTTGCTCCATCATAAGAAATCAGTAAATATCTGTTGAATGCAGACATCACTGAGCTGAGAGAGTCCAGAGGAGGATCCTGGAGGCTCCAAAAGGTAAAAAACAAAACAAAAAAACCTCACAACAAAACCAAACATGTGTTTAGGGAAATACAATTTGGAGGCAGCAAAAATTAACTTTCCACCCTACCTTATTGAAGAAAAATAGTTTTTCAGATGCCTAATAATAAGGTAAGTGAAATTTAAACACTAGGGATCCTTGCTGGGCGTGGTTGGTTCATACCTGCAATCCCAGCACTTTGTAAGGCCAAGGTGGGCAGATCACTTGAGGCCAGGAGTTCAAGACCATCCTGGCCAACATGGTGAAACTCTCTCTCTACTAAACATACAAAATTAGCCAGGTATGGTGGCACGTGCCTGTAATCCCAGCTACTTGGGAGGCTGAGGCAGGAGAATCACTTGAACTCGGGAGGCGGAGGTTGTAGTAAGCCAAGATCATGCCATTGCACTCCAGCCTGGGAGAAAGACCAAGACTCCCTTTCAAAAAAAAAAAAAAATTATTACTATATATCCTAAGATTTTGGAATCTTACTATTGATCTGGGTCCTTATATGTCATCAAATTCAATTTTGCATGTAGTACTTTTATGGCATAATGTATAGAATTTTCTGGAATGCCTCTAGTGACAGAAAACCAGGACTTACTGTGACAGGGCCTCAGCACTAAAGCCCTTTAATTGTAAGGACTTTCATTCTTGGTTTGAGAAATAATTTGCCTCCTTACAGCTCCCGCCACTTATTTTCCAGTGGCTAATGCGGGAGAACTTTGGCCTCTGTCTTCGTGGCTGAGGGACTCTGTGGGCCACATGTGGGTCACAGTGGTGGAGGGTCAGGCTGGGACACAACCTTGTCTGAAACAGGAGAAAGCAGGGGAGGGAGGCACATCCAGCATGGAAGCAGGCAGTGGAGGGGGTGCTTCCTGTAAGGGAACATCTTGACACCTTCGGACCACGGGTTAGAAAGGCAGAGCCTTCAATGTCAGAGGGTTCTGACTCCCAGTCCCGAGTCATTGCTGCTATTCTGTGATTTGGGGCAAGATCTTAATCTCTCGGAGCCCCAGTTTACCTGTAGAATGCTGGCACTACTACCCGCCTAGTCCGTCGGGATGAGCATCAGTGAGGTCTGCAGTGCATTCAGCATAGGACCTGACCTATCATATGTGTTCAGGGAGAACTGGTCTAGATTTTGTTCCTTTATTTTTTTGAGACAGGGTCTTGTTCTGGAGTGGTGGCGGGATCTTGGCCACTGCAACCTCCACTTTTGGGGCTCAGGCAATCAATCCTCCCACCTTAGCCTCCTGAGTAGCTGAGACGACAGGCATGTGCCACCACACCAGGCTACTTTTAAAAATGTTATTTTTTTTGGTAGAGACAAGGTTTCACTGTGTTGTCCAGGCTGGTCTAAAACTCCTAGGCTCAAGCAATCCTCCTGCCTCAGCCTCCCAAAGTGCTGGGATTATAGGTGTGAGCCACTGTGCCCAGCTATGGATTCCAATTTTTTTTTTTTTTTTTTGAAACGGAGTCCCGCTCTGTCACCCAGGCTGGAGTGCAGTGGTAGGATCTCGGCTCACTGCAAGCTCTGCCTCCTGGGTTCACGCCATTCTCCTGCCTCAGCCTCCCGAGTAGCCGGGACTACAGGTGCCTCCATGCCTGGCTAACCTTTTGTATTTTTAGTAGAGACGGGGTTTCACCGTGTTAGCCAGGATGGTTTTGATCTCCTGACCTCGTGATCTGTCCGCCTCGGCCTCCCAAAGTGCTGGGATTACAGGCGTGAGCCCCTGCACCCAGCCGATTCTATTTTTTTTAAAGGTATCTTTTCAAAAATGATAATCCTTGAAGAAACTAAATTGAAAGTACACACTAAACATGGAAAATGACAGGGAATATAGTCTGTGTTATAAACACAGTAATGGCTGATGTCTCAATGTCTTACCCCTTCCAAAGAAGACCAGAACTTTCTGAATGTGTCCTGAATGGGATAAACTCAAATGATAATAAGACACAATTTTATAGGCATTTTATGGGCTAAGCCCTGGTGAACATGACCTCTTTGTAAATTTTTTCCTCTCTCCTCCTCAAAAGTGTTCTTTTGAGGAACCACATGCTGTAGAAAACACACCTTGATTGAGTGACACGCAGGTCTCACCACCTGCTCTCATCCTGGAGGAAGGTACCCCAGCCCGACGCTGCCCCTGTCAGCACGCACCAAACCAGAGCTGGCACTTTAACTCGAATTTGGCATCAACTTAGGCAATACAGTTTTTCTGTGTTGTATCTTTGTGCTAAAGATTATAAACCCCTTTTATAATTAAGACAGTTTTGCCAAGTTGAGGCATATGCCAACAAGGGGGAAGATGCTGCAGAAAATGAGTGATTTTTAGATGTTAAAATCGTGAGCAGTCACTCTGTTAAATGTACCCTAACCATGAGAAATGCAAACGCCATGTGAACGATCGGAACACGGCTACGCTGACTTGTGCCAGCCTCGTGCCAGCCTCGTGCAGCCGTGGGTGCTGCGGGGATTGTGGGGACTGCGGGGACTGTGGGTCACGTGGAAGGCTTTCCCACAGCAACATCTCCTCCCCAACACTCAGTGTCCAACGTCACCTCCTGTAAAGGATACGTGGAATTTGATGATTAAGAGACAAATGTGGAAGAACAGGATTAGTCAATTAAAGGCAATCTCTTTCTTTCTTCCTAGGTTCAGACCTTAAGTTATAATAAAAAATCAGCACGCCAATGATGTTCTCAGACTGCTGAGGCTCCAAGGCCGTTGTTCTCTGTAAGTCCCGGTCAATGTAGTTTCATTGTTGTACTTCTATTTCTAGGATTAGTGAATGCCCTGTTAACACAGCCATCTAGAAATGTAATGTCAGGGACAAATTCCCAAGGATCTCAGCTATCCTTCTGAAGTTCAGAATTTATAGTGATCATGTCAATGTACAAATAAATTCGAAGAAAAAGAAAAATACTTTAGAAAGAACAATAATTTGTCAAGACATTCAGAAATAGCTTTGTGAAACTGTACTGTGTTCAGCATAAGCACTAGTTGTAGGTACTGTGCAATTATGTAATTGATCTATAAACAAAGACAGGTGGTATTAGCTTAGAAGTCAAATACAGCAATTTATAATGGGAGCTGCTTCTGAACTTTTTTTTTTTTTTTGAGACAGTGTCTCACTCTGTTGCCCACGCTGGAATGCAACGGCACGATCTTGGCTCACTGCAACTTCCACCTCCCAGGTTCAAGTGATTCTCCTGCCTCAGCCTCCCAAGTAGCTGGGATTACAGGTACCCACCACCACACTTGGCTAATTTGTATTTTTAGTAGAGATGGGGTTTTACCATGTTGGCTAGGCTAGTCTCAAATTCCTGACCTCAGGTAATTCGCCCACCTCAGCCTCCCAAAGTGCTGGGATTACAGATGTGAGCCACCATGCCTGGTCTGAACCGTCTTGATGGTAGGTTTCTCTAGGCAAATGGGAGGAACGTGAAGAATAAGGGGCTGTCCCCTTCCACGTGGAGAGGCAGAGGCACAGCTGAGCCCCAAAGGGGCTGGGACAGATCTGCCTGGTGATACCTGGTTAAGGAACGACATGGCCTTCCCGTCCCACCCAGGTGAGGAGACCTTTGGGTACGTCATCACATCGTTAACTAACTTAATCTTTTACTTACCTTCAACTTTTCTTTGGCATAATGCCAAGGCATTTTCTTGTAGAGCATGAGCTGGTAACAATACTAGAAAATAACACGAATGCTCCCAGTGAAGTTTTTGCCAAAATCCAAGAGAACTGCTAAGTGGAATACGAGATCACCTGTGCTCCCAAGAAAACTGTCAGCATAGCTGATCTTCTATTCAACTTACCTGACAAACAGAACACACACTTTTCCATCGATATCTTAGTGACTGCTTCTCTTTTCATGTAATTTATATCTTTTCTTAGAATTGAGGGGGATATACTAGAAAGCACGTTTATTTTCATTCACTTGAATACCAAAGGAAGGAACTTTTCTCCATTAATGCTGTGATGTGCATGTTTGCATTACTGAGAAATGGTGTCTAAGAGGCCCCAGGGAAGCCTGAGCTCTTACTTTCCTCCGAGAGATCGTTCTCCTCCGCCTCTCGCTCCATCTCTTTGCACCAGCCTTCCATCCTCTTCGTCTCCGTGTGCAGCAGCTTCAAAAACCACGACCCATCCCTGCGGCATGGAGACATCCTCCCAGTCTCTACTGTGTCGATGGCGGGCTCCAGCCACGGGTCTGGAGGGGGCAGGGTGGAGGTGTCCACTTGGGTCCGATAGTCTTCTCGATAGCTGAAGAGCCCCTGGGTCCGTACAGTTCTCACCGCGCCATACTGGGTGGGGGTGCTGGGCTCGGAGTGCCGCTGGAAGGATGAGCCAAACTGGAGGCCTTTGTCCTCCATGGTGATGTGGCCTGGGAACCCCTCCAGCTCCAGGTCAGCTTGGACGGCAGCCGTGACGCTGTTAGAACGTTTAAAACGCCCGTGTCTGCAAAAGGAGGGAAGGAAGAGAGATGGTAGCCTTTCTGAGAGGACTTTGTGCAACAGAATCCTACATGTAGCTTGTCAGGAGCGCACCTGAGCGCAGCAACATGGCAGCTCAAGGGTAGGTGGTGGTTTGTCTGTGAAATATGCTGGTGTTTTGTCTATGGAAGAACATTTGGTTTTGCAAATCATTAAACTTTAACATCTGCCTAAGTCTCAGGCCCTAAAAAATGCCCACTTGGGATTTAAGTTTATTGAATGATACAATGAGAGTTAATGTGTTTCATGAAACCGCTATTAGCAAACAGCTACCTCCCTTTCAGAAATATGCTACGAGCTCATACAGCCGAGGTCGTGGGTTCTTTTATGTAAACAACAGCCACATCATACTGAGTTTTAGTGGCTTCCAAATTGTGTTTCAGGGCCTGAGCCACTTCTGTCTGAATAACTTAATATGTCCCCATTAACCCCTATATGCAAAATAATGACTCCAAATTCTGACTTTGGTGTTTGAAAAACATTTTCACTGTCTGTATTTTAACGTCATCCTTTTCCACGTAGCTGATCACTGAAACAGTTGGCAGGAAGGGGCTTTTAGTTGGAGACCAGCATGCTGGGTGAGAACGCTGTGAGCGTGTGTGTGCATGTGTGTGCCCTGTATCTCCATGTTTGGGATATGTGTATATATGTGCATCTGTAGTGTGTGCCTGTGTGGTGTGTGTCTCTGTGTCTACATAGCCCCAGCTACTGCAGCCATCCCCGTGGCTCTGCAGGCTGAACCCACAGAAGCATACAGCTGGTTAGTAACGTTGGTTAGTAACGCTGGTTAGTAACGTTGCCCTTTGTGGGAGGGACACTGAGCCACAGAGCAGGATGGAAGGCAGCCTGCCCGGCTCCCAGGTGCAGAAGATGGCCAGGTTCTAGGAGGTCTACTCGGAAACTGGGGAAGCCATGAGCTGGGGTCGGAATCTGTTTGTAACAAAAAATGTCCATAGGGTGGGTGCTAAAATGCTCCCTGATGAGGGAGGCCACCCAACACTGTCCCTGTCAGATGCTGGCTGAGCCCTCACAATGTAATATTCTCATCAAAATTTGTTTTTATTTAAAATAGCATGTATTGTCTATTTCATAAAAACTAAAATGATCATCCTGCCTCGTTGCAAAAATAACACTAATGGATATCACTTTATGTTTCCAGGTAGTATTTTTTGAAGTGAAACAACTTCACGTTATACGAAGGTCTTGAATGTGCTTTGGTGTCTATCATTTCACGTTTAACATGACAAGGTGTGAAGCCTGCATTGGTGTCACCCTCAGCCCGTCCTTCTTTTTTTTTTTGAGGTGGAGTCTCGCTCTGTCCCCCAGGCTGGAGTGAGTGGTGCCATCTCAGCTCACTGCAAGCTCCGCCTCCCGGGTTCACGCCATTCTCCTGCCTCCGCCTCCCGAGTAGCTGGGACTACAGGCGCCGCCACCACACCCGGCTAATTTTTTGTATTTTTAGTATAGACGGGGTTTCACCGTGTTTGCCAGGATGGTCTCGATCTCCTCACCTCATGATCTGCCCACCTCAGCCTCCCAAAGTGCTGGGATTACAGGCGTGAGCCACCGTGCCCAGCCTCAGCCCGTCCTTCTTTCCTTTGGATCAAGGACTCTGACTTTCAGGCCGTCAGCTGCTCTGCTTTCAGAGGTGACAAATTACTTTGGAAAGAATTACTCCCTTGCCTCTTGCAAAAACAAGGCATAGGCAGGTGTTAACTCATACTTGGGGGCTATCAATGGAAAAGGATAAACGTGTGGCCCTGTTTCCACAAGCACACGCATGACTGAGGGCCAGCAGGATCTAGGAGCTTCCATCAGGCGTTTGACAAAGAGTTCTCCCTCGGGGGTGACCGCGTGTCAGAAGGGGCTGAGTTACCGCTTCTCATCTTCCACTTGCACCCCGACGGAGTGGTATTCCCGCAGACCGCGGCTCTCCGTGTCAGAATCTGTGGCCGTTTCCACCTAATTCAACAGAGAACATCTTATTTTAGAACTGAAACACGGGGCCTGGGCAAGGGACTATTTTGTTGTTGTTGCTGATTTGCTGTAATTAATTATGCATTTGTTTAATTAATGCAGAGATACACTTGACCCAGTAGAATCACAGAGAGGGAAATGCATTCACTTCGGAGTAATTACATCGCTCCTGCATCTCATCACATTTCACATAACTACCTGAACTCAGTGCTGCACTTTGGTCTTTTAAATGTATGCAAATAAAACTGCTTAGTTCAGCTCAGGCAAAAAATAGGTTTTGTTGAACTGCATTAGTACAGGACTTAAAAGCTCTTATCACGCCCTACGGTGATGAAAGTACAGCATGAACCAAACATAGCTAATGGCAACAAATAAGCAATTTAATAGAATTATACTGATGGCTGCAGCCACATACAGAGAGACACAGAAAGGAGTTTAAGCATTGATCAGAAACAGAGGCAAACTCTCCACCTTGACCTCCATAGAGCTGTCTCACATCTGCTAAGAGGATGGCCAGCAGGGTGATGTCAGATCAGAACAGAAATCGTATATTCCACAGAGAATTCTTACTGTGGCTGTATTTGCCAAAAAGTCCCCACAAACCCACCAAACGTTTCAATGATCATCAACTATGTAAAGTTATCCCACAAGGGAATTCTAGTACAGTACAGTTTCTTAAAAACAAAAAACCCCTAAGTCTCAGTAGGAAAACTCTGAAACCAAACGTTAGTTAAGCCGTTGATATGATTCCAGGCACTGAGTCATTCCTCCTTCCAGAAAAATATTACCTATTGTAGCAAAAGGGTTTTTGATCCCTCTCTGAAATGTCATAGCTAAGTTATAAAACATCTCTCTTTTCTTAAACATATTACTGATCACTACAAGGAAAAGGTGCAAAGCATTAAATAATTATGACCGTGTTCTCTGGGAGTCAAGAGAGAGGAGCTGCACGTTGACATTTGAGTTGCTGTTTGTGACTGTCCTAAGGTTAAGCCTGTGTCAACAAGGACTGGCTCAGATTTGTGGCTAAGAGAAGTAATCATGGAAACAGGGAAGACTTACTTGGTGCGTACCCTGTCCCAGGCACTATGCTGAGGTTCCAGCGTTACCACGTGTAATCCACACAATAACCCCAAGCATGTTTCCAGCCCCAGGAGAGAGTTGGGGGATCAGAGGAGGGGGGTGACTTGCTCAGGAGTGCTCAGCTGGTTGGGGGCAGGGCCAGGGCTCTTGCCCAGATCTCTCTGACCCCAGAGCCGTGTGCGGCATGGAAGAAAGCATATGAGAAAACCCTGGAGCTCTTGGCCGGCCACGGAGCCAGGGGAATGGACAGAGATGTCCACTTTCATTGGGTGTAATTCTGAAGACAGGTGCAGAATCCGTCCCTAGATTGGGATGCGTGTTCTGATAGCTGGGTGAGACGGGCTACAGGAGGAAGAATGTTCTTGAGTGAAGATCCTGGCCTTCCTGTCAGAATTGACCATTCCCCTTTCTAGTTTTAAGTGGGTCACAGCTTTATTAAACCTTACCTTGCTTGACATAAACATTATTAGTGTTATTTTACACAAAAGGATTGTAATACAAGGAATAGATTTAAAATTCCATGTCTGTACCTATGGAGCTGCCTCGTGTTTTACCTGCAAAGGATCCCATTTGAGGAATACAACCTAGTGCATTTCATGAGCCTTCAGTGGAGGGAAATTTGGTTGTTTCTAGCTTTCTGCCATTATAAATGATGCTGCTACCAATACATGTCTGTACCTGTGTGTGTGTGAAAACTTCTGTGAACGTATCCACCGGATGGGAGGTCTGGGTCCGAGGCGTTTGCACTTTTTAATTTTGGTAGATATTGTCAAATCTGATATGAGTGAAATAAATTCCAATGGATACTTTTAAAGTTTTTATCATAAAAATGTGGAGAATATTTGTCTCACTTATTCTATTTCTAGGAATCCAGCCTCAACAAAGGATCTTAACTTCTGACCAACGTGTGAGGTGTTCATTGCAGCATTATTTATAAGGTAGCACCTGGGGAGGATGAGGGGGACGCAGTGGGATAGGAATGTGCAGTAGCCATGATTTACTCGTGACATGGAATACCACACAGCCGTGAAAACGATGGAGCTGGGCGTGGCGGCTCATGCCTGTAATCCCAGTGCTTTGGGAGGCTGTGGCAGGAGGCTCGCTTGAGCCTAGGAGTTTGAGACCAGCCTAGGCAACATGGCAAGACCCCATCTCTACAAAAAACAAAACAAAACAAAAATTAGCTGAGTGGCAGCACCTGTGGGACAAGCTACTCCAGAGGCTGAGGCAGGAGGATCACTGGAGCCCAGGACGTTGAGGCTACAGTTAGCTGTGACTGCACCACTGAACTCCATTCTGGGCAACAGAGTGAGACCCTGTCTCTAAAAAATAAAGATGGTTATAAAGATAACCTCAGGAATGCTTACAATACAGACTTTAAAGGACACAGATTAACAGGTGCCATGGACAACAGAATTACCAGGTGCATGCACACACGTAGAAACACCCATACTCACAGGCAAGTACGTGTACCATGGAAGAGACGAAAAACACACAAAAAAGTAGAAGCTTTTCCTTCCTTTCTCTGTCTCCAAATTTCCTCTAATATATTTTTGTTATTTTTATAGTGAATTTGAAAAATACAGCTTTTGGAACTGGTCAGATTCTGCTACTTGCTGGCCATGCAACTCTTAGGAAAGTCTTTTAAATTTTGTTGAATCTTTGGTTCCTTGTCTCAAAGAGGGGACACCCAATGCCTCAGTTAACTGATGTAAAACTCTCAGCATGAGGCCTGACTCAAGTAGGTTCATCCACAGCAAGTGCGAATTCCCTGTTCTCTCATCCCAGCTTTAAGGATGGTCAGGTGAATAGTGGTATGCATATTACATTAAAATTACATTAAAGGTGCACACATATGATTAACCGTGCAGATTTTGTCGTGGCTGTCTCATGAAATCTTTCTAAGGAAAATGAAGTTCAGCATTGCTGGAAGGTAAAGTCTGAGGGAGACATGGTAAAATCATACTTGGCCAGGAGGAGTTAAGTATCAATTTCAGAAATCCTGGGCATAGAGAGGCTTCCTGTGAGACAGAAAAGCAAATCTGGGACAAAGAAAATAAATTATTTTGTACAGTGGAAAGGCAATTCAAGAGTCTTTTCCAAAGGAAATGCTGGCTACAAGTAGGTTTAAAAAGTTTTGAGGCCAGGCACACGGGTTCACACCTGTCACCTTGGTGTTCTGCAAGGCTGAGGGGGAGGATCACCGGAGCCCAGGAGTTTGAGGCTGGAGTGACCTACGATTACACCACTGTACTCCAGCCTGGGCAACACAGCAAGCCCTCGTCTCTTACAGTTTTGAAAAATACATGGGTGCAAGAAAAAAGATGAATGAGCGAAATCAGTGTCCCGCCTCCTATGCAGTCCCAGGCTAGCAGCAGCGTCAAAGCCAACCAGCCGCTTCTGAGCCAGCTTCTGCAGGGACGCTGAAAAAATGACTGTGGGCAGGGCTGGCAGCAGGAACCGCCCACTAGTAATATTGGGCCAGGGTGCCAACCTGTAATCTCTACTCTCCCGACAAGCTCATTTTCTGCTCTTCCTTCCAAACCTCACACACAGCAGAGCAGGTGCCCTGGATTTGATGCAAACTCCTCTTTCCCTCTGAGACGTGCTCTGCCTCCAAGAGTTAGGGGTGAGTGGCCAGCCCCGCCTGTGAGGCTTTGAGCTCCAGGGCAGCCGTGAGGAAAAGCAGCTGACTGTGTGTCTGGAGAATCGGACAGACACCAGTCAGAGTCTTTTCCAGGTTGCCTCTGCCCTCTCACAACCTGGTGAGATCACAGAATAGAAACTGATCTCATTGGCCAGGCATGATGGCTCACGCCTGTAATCCCAGCACTTTGGGAGGCCGAGACAGGTGGATCAGCTGAGGTCAGGAGTTCGAGACCAGCCTAGCTAACATAGTGAAACCCTATCTCTACTAAAAATACAAAAATTAGCCAGGCGTGGTGGCACATGCCTGTAATCCCAGCTACTTGGGAGGCTGAGGCAGGAGAATCACTTGAACTTAGGAGGCGGAGGCTGCAGTGAGGCGAGATCAGGCCACAGCACTCCAGCCTGGGCAACAGAGTAAGACTCCATCTCAAAAAAAAAATAAAAAAAATAAAAAAACAACAAAACTGATCTCATTTCTAAAGGTGGGGCTCGTAAGGCACCAGGGACAGAAGGATCCTGACTGTTAGACCAGGCCTCCACCTCACCTAACTGCAGTATCTGGGAGCTGTAAACATTTCCCACAGAGTTCCCCAAACACACACATGCACACAGAAGAAAATGGAAAACTTAGCAGGAGAGACAAACCGCAAAGGATAAAAACGAAAGTGAAAACACAAATGGTCCAATTGGAAGAAAAGCAAGGTCAGGCCAGATAGGGTCAGAGGACCTCTCCGAGGTGGCTCAGCCATGCCCACAAGCTCTCCTCCTTATCCTAGGCCTGGCCTATGAGTGCCAAGACTGGGGCCCATTCTCTCCTACGGGCATCTGGCCTGCAAATTTGGAGCTCTGATGAGACCTGTGTGTCCTGCTGTAAGGGCCAGACTCACGCGGCCATGTCCAGACATCTGAGGAACAGGGGACTTGCCACTGGCTTCTGCTCTAAGCTGGGCAGTGGGGGAGGATGGGGGCCATAGGAGGTGTGAGCTGAGGACCCTCACTCACTGGGGATCATGTTAGACACAGCCCAGTAATTATAATGAGAATCCTGAATTCAAACCCTGGTAGTAAAAGGTCATGCAATGCACTGTGAACAAGGCAGCTGCCTTGTGGGACAGGACCCCCTGGGACGGGATCCCCCTGGAGCTGTCTTTCTGCGAGCCAGCGGGCCACAGAGGGCGTGAGCTCCACAGAAGATGTGTTCAGTAGCATGGACACTGGTCATCTGTAGGAATGACATTTGCAGAACACAGATTCTCCTGCTATCTGCACTCAGACAAAACTGTGCCCAGAGTTTCCTGGAAGCCAGTCCCGTTGGATGCTGGTTGAACACAGGCTAGCCAGCTTTGTCTATGAGCTCAGAACAGCGTGACACCTGCCCTGTGTCCCAGAACAGGAACAGAACCAGGGCAGGCTCCTGAGGGCACAGAATCCTTCTGGGGTTTTCTCCTCTTTGAGAAGCAGAGCAGAGAGGAATGGAGTGGAGTGCAGGCTCCAGAGTCTCACCCACTGGCTTCACTCATAGTCTTGGCCGTGAGCCCTTAGGCAAGTCCGTGACCCCCCTGAGCCTCAGTTTTCCCATCCATAGGCTGGGCACAGTAACAACCAGCACACAGGGTTATTATGAGGATTAAATCGTGCCTTGGTGCCTGGTGGGGACGTGGCCACCTGTCCACAGCCTGCTCACTCCTGTCTCAGCCTGTCACCTCCTGCCCTGGCAAGGTTGCTGTCTGCAGCTCCCCTCCTGAGGCCTCCCAGGCACCCACAGGAACCTGTCTTTCATCCACTCGATTCCTTCTTTTCCTCCCCTTTACTCCTGCAGTAGTTTCAATTCTTTGGCTGTTTTCCTTATCCTGACACTGAAGCTGCTCCAACTACATTTTCTCCATAGCTTTTCAATTCGCTTCCTTTGGATAACTGTGAGGTCACCAGCTCACAGGATGCACAGAAAACACACAGGATGTTCTATGTTTGTTTTTTTTTTTTTACTGCCTTGAAAGGTGACTTTGTTATCCACCTTCTTTCCTGTCTTTGCATCCATCCTCACCCAGCACATACCCAGCGACCCATCCGTCCACTCGCTCACCCAACATTTACTGAGCACTCCCTATGTGCCAGGCACAGTGCTGGGTGCAGGGTGGCAAGAAGCTGGGGGTGCAGTCCCTCTCACGGGACATGGTGTGTGGGGCTGGGGTCCAGAGAGGTCCCCAGGAGGGGGTAAAGGCACAGGCTGAGCTTTGCAGGGGAAGCTAAGGGGATGAGGAGAAGCCTGTACTCAGCAGAGGCTGCCGTGCCAGGGGTGGGAGCTGGGAGTGGCAGAGGGCTGACCACTGAGGGGTGTGGGATCCTGGCTGTGGGCGGGGCAGGAAGCGGTGGCATTGTGCCCAGTGTGCTGACTTAACTGTATGAGTTTCCAAATTTATGCCTCACTCATTTCAGATAAAGTCGGTACTGCACGTGCTTAGAAGTGGGCGCTGCCTCGGTCATGGCTGGGTGGACATCCTGGAGGGCACCTGTGGGAGGCAGCTGAGGAGAAAAGAGAGAGGGTGGGAGTATCTGGCAGTGGGAAATCACCTGGCTAATTTGGGGACCTCTCCAGTCTCTACTGCAGACACGACCCTGGAGACGGAGACAGGCGAGGGAACCCTGGCTTTCCTGCTTACGGGTGCCCGGGCCCAGCGAGGCCCAGGGCTGCAGGCAGGTTATGGACCCTGGTGAGCCCCTTGTCCTCATCTAAGAGGGGATGGATGGGGGCACCCAGCACAGTGCCTGGCATATAGAATCAGGACAGAGGCGACAAGAGCAGTCGCATAAACATCCAAAAAGGGAGAGAAAATGAAAGTCATGCGGACGCGGCTTTGGAGCACATTTCGGTACTTACATCTGACCTTGGGTATGGCTGATGCTCTGGGAATTCAGAATCCTAAACAAAACAATGAAGCCACATGTGGAGACCCGGTTCGGAGGCCCTGGACCAGCGGGCGGCTCCCCTGCTCTCTCCGCCCACATGCCTAGCTACCAGCGCCGCACGGCCCGGCTCTCACGCACGCTCCACTCACCCTCCTCCCTGGGCCGCCCCAGCGGCAATCAAGAATCTGATTGTTAAAGCTCCGAGGAACGCAGGCTGAGTGCAGGGGTGAAAGGAAGCAGGAGGTGGGCCGTGCTGGCAGAGGACTTGACATCCAGCCCTGCTCAACCACCTCTCCCAGATCCCGGAGGGAAGGGCTACCTGACCCAGATCACAGGACAATCTCCCGGCCTCCCTGGGTGCACAGCACTGCACCTAGAATGGACTTGCAGAGGGAGGTGCCCTGTGGGCGGGAGCTGGCCAGAGCTCTCCATTCGCGGGGAAAGGAACCGTCTGCCACGCCTGTATCATGGGTGGACATCTGGAGGCCCAGATGGACCGTGGGTCACCGTGGGTCAACCATCTGTGGTCTGAAACCACGGATGCAGCATCTGTGACCCCAGCTGAGGGGACTGCCTGTACCTGAAATTGCTGTGAGTACGCCCAGGTTCTGTATGGACGAGGGCCTACCTTTCCTTTTACCTCTTCATTCCCAACACCTTTTGGTTCCCCCACTCAACTCTTTGGCCACAATACTGAGAAGCTTTTTGAAAAATCAGACTTCAACAGAAACCCTCCCTTTTAAGCATCAAAATAGCGTTATCTCCATACTCTCTAGGCAGCCTTTGGCCCTTGGAAAATGCGCGGCCCGGAGTGTATTTTCAGGGTGACAGGGGACAGGGAGCTGGAACCCCTGGCTTTCCTTCAGCCCTGGACCGGGGTCCGCGTCACCTCAGGGGTCTCCCGCCTACTTGCTGCGCTGGCAGGTCTGCAACGCAAACGCACAGCCCTGCTCTCAGGTTCCACAGCCCTGCTGGGGTTAGGGTCAGTGCTAAGGACCCAGGGCCACTGGCTGGCTTCTGGCTTATTCTATGCTATTGGCAGGACTGAGTAGAGCGAGGCCCTGACAGGCGGCCACGAGCAGCTACCTGAATCCCGATGGAGGAGCAGCGGCTCTTGAGGAGTTCCTCTGCCTTGGACACCAGGATGGCCTTGTCGCTGGTCCTCGCGGAGCTGCTCTGGCTCTCAGGCATGTGGCGCTGGGCCGCGGCCGTCTCCAGGGCGAGGTTCATGGCCTTGTTGCTGTCCAGGCTGTCCGTGGAGTTGTAGAGACTGCGGCTGTCCTGGGGCCACGGGGACATCCTCTGTGCGCGGCTGTCCTGGTAGGCATCCTGGGTGGATTCGGTGCTGCTCTGCGCCGTCACCGAGATCAGAGGCTTGGAGGTGGTCCGAGGGGGCACTGGTGGGGGGGTTTTCTTGTAATTTGTATATGAGACGGCTGTAAGAAAAGAAAGTCCCAAGTCAACAAGCGTGTTCTCCCCCATCAGCCTCTGGTCTACCGTTTCACCACGCCCACGCCCTGTGATTGACAGAGCAAGTCTGTTCCTGGACGTCTAGCCTAAGACAATAGCATGAAATGTGGGGAAAGTGAGGCAGCAAACATGAATATACTTGTAAAAGTGCAGGATTATAAAAATACCAACAAATCCAGCAGCAGAGACACAGCTAAGCAAGGTGTGTCCCCGCAGGACAGCACACAGGTGTGGCATCATTTCTACGCAGGTCACGTCATCATGGAAAACGCTCATTCTATCACGTTAGGTTCAGAAGAGAGATGGAGTCTTGCTCTGTTGCCCAGGCTGGAGTGCAGTGGCGCGATCTCGGCTCACTGCAGCCTCCGTCTCCTGTGTTCAAATGATTCTCCTGCCTCAGCCTCCCAAGTAGCTGGGATTACAGGCCTCCCCCCCCACCACACCTGGATAATTTTTGTATTTTTAATACAGATGGGGTTTCACCATGTTGGCCAGTCTGGTCTCAAACTCCTGACCTCAGGACCTCAGATGATCCACCCGCCTCGGTCTCCCAAAGTGCTGGGATTACAGGTGTGAGCCACCACACCCAGCCCAAAGTGGATACATTTTTAAAAACCTTGCATTGGAAAGCGAATCTGAAGGCTAGAAAACTGAGGAAGGATGATCAGATGTTATCAAACCAGTCGGGTGCTGAGCTTCTCTTTTACCAGAGAAACATTCAAAATCCTGTCTTTTTTTTGTTTCCTTTTGTTCCTGACTTTTCCCCCTAATGTCAATCCATGCCTTAAGGAAAATGATTGAAAACTGACAATATTCAAGGCACTATTTAGGAGATTCAGAAAGTTCCCAATACTTCTCCATCCCAAAGGCCAATAGTGCCGGGGAGAGACCTGGGTTAGAAAATCATTTTGTCTCTCTGGGTGGGACGCGTTGGGTTACCCCACCTTCATCTCACCTCGGCAGGGATGAGGTCCGTTTAAACACTTGTTTCTCATGACGCCTTTCCTGACAGTGTTTCATAGTGTTGATTTATCAAGGGTGTTAAGTGCGACATGGACACATGATCAGAGAGACGGCGGGTGGAGGTATGAAGAGGGCTCATCGATAAAGGGGTTTCCACGTGACAGCCCTGGAGAGCAGGTGGCTGTTTTCATGTTAACCCATTTGTCATGGGACATTTACAGAAAACAGTCTTTATCATTAATGACATGGCTTCAGATTGTATGGCTCTAGCCGAAGGCAGGCCGGGTGTCTGCTGTGCGCCAGAGCGAGACTGCGGACGGGGGCTCTCAGTGACCTCTCCAGTGGCAAAGCTGGCTCTGCTTTGGTTCTCTTAAGCAGAAATACTGATTCCGAAGAAGTTTTGAGTCCCAGCAACAGGGGTAGTAACAATCAAAAGCAACAGAGACGCAGGAATACAGATTAAAATGTGACATCTGCCTTAGCATAAATATATTTTTCTTTGGCAAGTTTGAGGTGAGTAAAAGGTAACACTAAACACCCCGGATTGGTTGAGGTGAGTAAAAGATGACACTAAACACCCCGGATTGGTTCCCGGATTGGTTGAGGTGAGTAGAAGGTGACACTAAACACCCCGGATTGGCTGAGGTGAGTACAAGGTGACCCTAAACACCCCGGATTGGCTGAGGTGAGTAGAAGGTGACACTAAACACTCCGGATTGGTTGAGGTGAGAAGGCGACACTAAACACCCCGGATTGGTTGAGGTGAGTAGAAGGTGACACTAGAGTAGAAGGCATACTAAACACTCCGGATTGGTTGAGGTGAGAAGGCGACACCTAACACCCCGGATTGGTTGAGGTGAGTAGAAGGTGACACTAAACACCCCGGATTGGTTGAGGTGAGTAGAAGGTGACACTAAACACCCCAGATTGGTTGGATTTTCCCAGCGAGGTTCACCTCAGCAGGGAACGATGGCACGTATCAAACGTCATAACCATGTCACTACACGTCACAGGGAAACGCAACAGGGAGGAAAGTAATCAGTTAGTGACCTTCCCAGAAAACGTAAGCAAATGCATGCAAATTCATCCCCACCTTGGCTCATTATGTGTTTCATAGTTACTCTCAAAGGTCTCCTGTCACCAGTGTTCAAAATCACAGACCTTACTAAGTGTATTTAAGTCAAATTTAAAGAGTCTGAAAAATTTCACAAAACAACTAAACCTTCCTTCCTGTGTGGAATATCTTGTAAATTAAAAAAACTCATGGGGCAGGTTATGACTTATCTCCATATCACAGGAAAATCGCATACCACATCTTCTCACTTTATAAGGTGTTTGCTACAGGCTGATGAAATGATTTTTTAAACTTATTTCTTTGTAAAAATGTAGTTGCATGCCACACTTTTAAAACAAACAGATTAAGAAGGAGCAGTTCACCTCCAGCATATAGAAAGAAGAATTTACTACACTCCACCTGGGAGGGCACACAGTGATTTTTCCTGGATGACTAAAGGGATTATGCGTTTCTAAATGTGTGTGCACATGCTTGCCAGGCTGTTCTCAGAACCACTAAAACGAAAACACGGTTTGAAGCAATTAGCTGTGCTGTAGTGGTGCAGAGATGATCACTGACTGACTTTCGTTAAGTTATAGTTAGAACTTTGTGGAAGAGGATTGTTTTTCACCGAATCAGCAAGGTTCCAGTGTCAAAGTCATTATTTAGCCTACTGTATTCTCGGAATCCACATTTTAGGATGTAAATCCAAGTATTTTAAACAAAATTATTGCTTAAAACAACTGCTCACTGGTACTGAGTCTGTAACATATCCATTTCGCGGTGAAACCCCACGCGGACGTTTGACGACGGCATTCAGTTCAACCTGCGTGTCCATACAGTTGCTGTCACCACATAGGCTTTCCGGAGACCATTGATAAGGAGGCTGAAGACCCTGGGCTTTCTGCCACGTTGGGCACGGATGTAAAGTGCCTGGCAAGCTTTGCTGGTGGATATAATATTGTAAGATTCGCTGATTTCAGGAGGCGTTTATCTAGAGCCTAAGAGCCTGGCCCCAGTGAGGTCCATAGTCACACTGGAAAGGCAGCCCTGAGAACTGAGGGTGCAGCATCAGAGACTGGGGATGCCCAGAGAGAGACTCGGGTTGAAGGAAGCTTCCTGGGGGTGAACCTGGCCGTGCCTTGAGGTGGATGGAGCTGCTCCTGGGAAGCAGGAGTGGGACAGGCCAGTGGACATGGCCTGTGCCTTGATGCACCAGTGCCACCACGGGAAGGAAGCAGACGTAGCCTGTGTTGTAGACGCATCGATGCCACCTCAGGGGGCCAGTGGGCACGGCCTGTCTTGCAGACGCACCAATGCCGCCACGGGAAGGGCCAGTGGGCACGGCCTGTCTTACCGACGCACCAGTGCTGCCCCGGGAAGGGCCAGTGGGCATGGCCTGTCCTGCAGACGCACTCAATGCCGCCACGGAAGGCCAGTGGGCACGCCTGTCTTACCGACGCACCAGTGCTGCCCGGAAGGGCCAGTGGGCATGGCCTTCCGTCCTGCAGATGCACCAGTGCTGCCCGGAAGGGGCCAGGGCATGGCCTTGTCCTGCAGATGCACCATAGTGCTGCCCTGGAAGTAGCCAGGGCATGGCCTGTCCTGCAGATGCACCAGTGTTGCCTCGGAAGGGCCAGTGGGCATGGCCTGTCCTGCAGATGCACCAGTGCTGCCCCAGGAAGGGCCAGTGGGCATGGCCTGTCCTGCAGAAATGCTGATGCTGCCGCATCCGCACCCACAGCCTCAGCTCTAGAAAGGCAGCCCTGGTGGAGGAGGGTTTGATATCAATGGGTCAGTTGTCATCAACAAAACCACTATTCTCTGGCATAAAGATGCTGCAAACTTGACTTGGATTTCCCCAGTGGTCTGCAGGCTCCTCTGGGGCTGAACCGCGGGTCACGTTAGTGTTCTGGGGATACAGCCTGATCTCTTCTCTTCTTTACAAGTGTCGTGAAATTTTCCTCAAACTATTTACCTTCTGGCAGAACAGCAAGTGACCATTCTGCCGTTCTCTCTTCCTTTAAATAAAACACGTGCTGTGATGCCTGAACTCTTGTTTTGCTCTGTTTTCCTTTGGTGATTTAATATCTTGAGATGATTTTTACTACTCCCTGAAGCTGAGTTTCACTTACAGGATCCACAGACTCACAGGCAAGTCACAGCTGTCAGACCAAACCTCCCCTGTTAGTCGAAGTTAACCATTTTGCTCAGGGCCCTCTCCCTGGCCTGTCAGTCAAAGTTAACCGTTTCGCTCAGGGCCCTTTCCCTGCCCTGTTAGTGGAAGTTAACCATTTCGCTCAGGGCCCAAGGGAAAGGGGGCTTCTCGGTCCTTTCCTGCAAAATCTTTGGACAGGGACATCTCACACACTTCCTTCTGGTTCTATTAAACTCAATCTTTCTTACTTCAGACATGAAATGATGTCACCGTGTGATCTTGGAGAAACTGTCTTCCCTTGGTCTGAGGGTGCTCTGTGGTGTACGGCGTCTCACGAAGTGGAGATAAGCATCCAGAGAAGCTGGCGGAGACGGGTGCACAGTAAGGGCACTCTCACCACCGGATCCCTGAACAGCACTGGCCGTCTCCACCATCAAAGAAGAGAATAAAATGCCAGAAGCACCTGCAAACTTGCCACCACCCCTTCATTTCTTCAGTATGAGAAAGAAAAGTCACCTTGGAGTGTGCATGTGCGTGTACACACACCCCCCCCCCACACTCATGCATGTGTACACACAGGCACACACACAGCCCCACACTCACACGTGTACACACACACAAACACACCCCACACTCATGCATGTGTACACACAGGCACACACACTGCCCCACACTCACACATGTGTACACACACACACCACGTGCACACACTCAGACATGCACACACGCACGTGTGCACAGACCGCTCACAAACACACTCATACACATGTACACTCACACTTGCACACACA